CCCCACTGGCACCATATCCCACTATGGCTTTGTTTCTGACTGTTATCTTGAGGCATTTGCTTTGTGAGACATATCTGTAGAATACATGTTTGTGATGTAGGATGAATTGGTGGGCAGGGGGCATTGGGAAGAAAAGGGATTTTTTTTCTGCAAAGTGCTGCCCCAGGCTGTTGTCTACTTTTTTAAAATGTTACTTCATTCTTATCCACCCCATGCTGAGATTTGGGATGGGAAGCAATGCATTTAAAACACCCATCCAGTGATAAAAACCAATGGCATAAAATATGCATTAAATGAATCCCAATTGGAAAGACCAGCCAGACCTCCGGAAATGCACATGTAACTGAACTGAATGCATAATCTTCCCCTATTATCCTCCCTGCCAACTTCCTCCTCTGCCCTTTTCACACACAGACCCTCCCCTGTCTTCAGTAGCAGATTGTAACCTCCGTGGGGCATGGGCCTATCTCTTTGTTACTTAGCAAAGTGCTATATGCGTTGATGGTGCTGCTATATAAGAATGAATGAAAATAAGAGCGTGGGGCTTGCTCATCCCTGGAATATGGAACGTTTATCTGGCTTTTCAGAACAAGGAAAAAAGACAGAGAGAACCCACACAATTTGATTCTGAATCACAGCCTACACAGGAGCTGCTAGCTTGCAGTGTCCTATTTAAACAACAAAGGTGCTTTTTAAAGGTAGTTGCCTTATCTCTGCTGGTACAGATGGCCATGGTAACCTCTTTGTCTGTTCTGTGCTTTAAGTCTTTATTTAGCAGCGATGAAGAGTTACAGATCTGAACTTTGAACCACCTGGAGAGAGTTGGTTTAATGGTTAACAGAATGAGAACATCCTGCCCCTGCTAACATCACATTGCACTACTGCTGTTTATTTAGCTTTTCATCTCTTTCCCCTACCCTTCTGCTACAGTGCCTGCTACAGAGGCAGGCACAGACAGGGAACAGTCACATTTTATCCTCACACCAGCCCTGCGGAGTAGGTTAGGCAAAAAGGCATTATTTCCCTCCCCCCAGGGAAGCAGTGGTAACCAGGATGGTGCCCTCCAGTTGGTATTAGAGTACAACTCTTAATCTCAGGGTTATGGGTCCGAGCCCCATATTGGGCAAAAGATTCCTGCATTTCAGGGGGTTGGACTAGATGACCCTCAAGGTCCCTTCCAACTCCACAATTCTGTAATTCTAACCCTCATCTTTGCCCCATTGCCCATGCCGGTTGGGGCTAATCGAAGCTGTAGCCCAAACTTCAATGGCACCTACACTTCAATGGCACTTACACTTAAGCAAGTGCATATTGGACTGTAGGCGCGGTCAATTCATCAGGTAGGACATTTAGCAATTAAAATATTTCCATCAAATGAAAAGGGTTCCTAATTAGTTAGGCAGCCGGATTTAAATATATTAATATTAGTACAAGTCTTTATAATAACAAAATAACTGCAGGTAGCAAATGCCAGGGGAGGGCAGCGTCATGCTCTCCAGATGTTGAGGACTACAACTCCCATCATCCCTGAATAAGTATTAATTATTCTGGCTGGGGTTGATGGGAGTTGTAGTCCACAACACTTGGAGACCACTGCACTGGATACTGCTGGCAAAGGCCATCTCAGAAAATGCATTCCCTCTGATGTGTGAGAGAAAAACAAGAAAAAAATATTCTGAACGAAACAGAGGATGCCAGTTTGCAGCTGCGTTGTACTCATATTCCAACAGTTCGTGCTGTGGCCACAGACAAGATATGAGATTTGACGGTGAGTTTGGGGTAGCCCAATGCAAAAATGCTGAGAATCCATGTGGATCCGTGCTTTGTAACCATGTTTTTGTGCCATTGCGGCCCCACAAAACAGTAGATGCGTGGTTTTTTTGGTGCAGGCTGTAGCCATGGACATGCTATGTGATCTGAAGGAGAATTTGGGGTGACCCAATGCAAAAATCCTGAGGATCCATGTGCTTTTACCTCCCCCCTCCCAGGCAGCCTCCTTTATCGCTAGAGTCCCTTATCTCCCCTCCCGATCGCTTGCTGATCAGCTGATCAGCGGCTTTGTTTTAACACCCCCTTCCCTCTTTCTTAAAAAAAAAAAAAAGCACGATCTGCTTTTTGCCCCTGGGCAATTCGGCTCCAGGGACCATGTATTCGCTCCATAAGACGCACAGACATTTCCCCTTACTTTTTAGGAGGAAAAAGTGTGTCTTATGGAGCGAAAAATACGGCAAGTGTTTAGCATCACCCTAATGAGTTTGGATTGATTGTAAATAATCCAACCCTTCTTTCTCTTTGAAATCAGCAAACTGTCCTTTGCCATTGAGTTCAGGACACCTGCATTTGGGCTTCATCCTGTCCTAGAGGTCCCTTTGTGGCCCGTGAGGAATTGATTTGTCTGAAGGTCAAGAATCGACGTATGAGAAAGTACAAGGAAAACCATTTCCATGCGCCTGCCAAAGCAAATCAATTGTTTCCTTTCTTCTTAAACAAAGATAGATTTGTTTTTGTGGATCTGCCTCGACTTTACCGTGGCATTTATCTTGTGAAAGGATACCATTTGTAGCTAAAGTGATGTACTCCACTTTCGGCTACATCTACAATTACTCTGCTGATGCTGAAGCAGCTTCCGTGTCAGGAAAGGGTGACCCCCAAAACACAGCAACGTTTTTTTTGTTGCTTTTCCTTCCTTTGGCTGTAACGATTTCTGTCAGACACACCTTCAAGCCTGCCTCCTTTAATTACTAGAGACTGGCTGTTAGGTTCAGGGTAATTATGGCTGGGTAGAAAGCATATCATGCAGTCATTTCAGTTCCTGGTCAGTAACCATGGCAATGCCAAGAAATAAAGCACAATTAAGTGATGGTCATGCCAAGACAGGAGAGAAAGTGCATCCTTTGCTGTTATTTACAGGAGGTTTGAGGTACTTGCTTAACTTAGTGTCTGGAGGCGGTTGGAGGATGGATGGCAGATAACAGATCAAAGTTGAATCCTGACAAGATAGAAGAACTGTTTTGGGGGGACAGGCAGGTCTGGAGGACTCCCTGCTCCTGAATGGGGTAACTGTGCCCCTGAAGGACCAGGTGCGCAGCCTGGGTGTCATTTTGGGCTCACAGCTGTCCATGGAGGCGCAGTTCAATTCTGTGTCCAGGGCAGCCATCTACCAGCTCCAGCTGGTATGCAGGCTGAGAGCCTACCTGCCCGCAGACTGTCTCGCCAGAGTGGTGCACACTCTGGTTATCTTCCGCTTGGACTACTGCAATGTGCTCTACATGGGGCTACCTTTGAAGGTGACCCGGAAACTACAATTAATCCAGAATGTGGCATCTAGACTGATGACTGGGAGTGGCCGCCGAGACCATATCACACTGGTCCTGAAAGACCTACATTGGCTCCCAGTACGTTTCCGAGCACAATTCAAAGTGCTGGTGGTGACCTTTAAAGCCCTAAATGGCCTCGGCCCAGTATATCTGAAGGAGCATCTCCACCCCCATCGTTCAGCCCAGACACGGAAGTCCACTGCCATGGGCCTTCTGGCGATTCCCTCACTGAAAGAAGTGAGGTTACAGGGAACCAGGCAGAGGGCCTTCTTGGTAGTAGCACCTGCCCTGTGGAATGCCCTCCCATCAGATGTCAAGGAAATAAACAACTATCTGACTTTCAGAAGACATCTAAAGGCAGCCCTGTTTAGGGAAGTTTTTAATGTTTGATGTTTTATTGTGTTTTAAATATTTTGTTGGAAGCCACCCAGAGTGGTTGGGGAAACCCAGCCAGATGGGCAGGGTATAAATAATAAATTATTATTATAAATTATTATTATTATAAACAACTTGCTTCTGGAACAAAAGTTGATTTTTTTGTATTGGTGATATTTCTTTCGCCTGGCAATTTGCTGGTCACCAACAGACAACAACGCATCAAGATAGCCAGCCAAAATTTATGCTTGGTGGGTGTTGACCCTGATTCTCCCTTTACCCAGGCCCAGAGACCCAGGTTACATCTCCATTACCATGAGGGGGGAAACTGAGGTTCCATACTTGGGCTCTGATGGTGATGGGGCACATACTGTAGGTATAGGCTGAAATCATAGCATGTGCATGAAAGGGGACCCTATGCTTAGACCCTACTCTAAATCAGTAATGGCTGGTGAGGCACACGGGGGTGTTGCTTACTTGGGTTTCCAGAACACAGGATGGCACTACTAACTGAGTAGCAGAGGGACGGGGAGGCTGGTGCAGTGAGCACCAGAAACATCTGTGACGTTAACATATGAGTGTGCTGGAGGTGAAATAGTTAAACAAGTTACCCAATCAGAACCCAGGGGGTGGAGTCAGAGGGACTATAAAACCAGCTCTGGGAGGGGCGAAAGGAGAGTTCATTGGGAGTTGGGTGGTTGGTTGGAGTGGGAGTGAATTGGGATAGAGTCTGTGGGGAGGTTGAGTTAGTGTAGCGAAATAAGTTGAGTCAGGAACAGTTAGGATCTAGAAAGACAAGTAAATATCTGAGAGGTGGTTTAGTGAGTGAGAGCAGGTAGTGGAAGTTATAGGTCTGGATAGGCACCCTATGGTTGTAATTGACCGATACCGTTTATGAAACCACACACTTGTTAAACTGCAATAAATAAATAGAAGTTTATGCTCCAATTTAAACCTGACTGGACTCAGTATTGTACCAGGTAGGGCCTGGGTGGTGGCAGCGAGAAATAAAGTGGTGGCACAGGGATCAATAGACGGTAAAACGTCCGGGGACCCTGTGTGATCGCCACAGCACCCACACCACAATGCCAGCCCTGCTGCATCCCCCCCTCTCCCTCTCAGTTACCAGCAGTGACCTCTGTGTTGGGAAGCAAGGCAAGCAATGCTCACCTGCCCCATTATGCAGCTGCTCCTGCTTTAGCTATCACACAATGGGACTTACGGTACTTTTAGCCAAAGCTTATTTCTGGAAACTATCTTGGATGTCAAGGTTCAGCCGTGGAACAAATGATATAATAACAGTTGAACACCTAACTGGGATAGTTCGGTCAGTAGAGTATGAGACTCTTAATCTCAGAGCCGTGGGTCTGAGCCCCACATTGGGCAAAAGATTCCTGCATTGCAGTAGGTTGGACTAGATGACGCCCTTGGTCCCTTCCAACTCGATGGTTCTATGATTCTAAGCTTCCCCTGTACAAACCTCAAGAGCAAGGGACTTCACTGTCAGGGTGTGGCTTCCATGATTTGAGTCATGGTCCCTCACCATGTCCATCAAACCACAGCCCTGTATATTGTTCTGGTCATTGTTGTGAGAAGGAATTTCTTCCTGGGTGTCTCAGAACTGGGAAGTTTGCAAAGTTTCTGGCTTCCTTCTTAAGCTTCCTACATTTGTCCTTTGGTTTCTTTTTACATTTTCGAATGACAATTCCTACTAGAGGAGCAAATGACTGGGGTTATTTCCTCAGCCCTTTCTCAGCTGGAGACTTGTTAAAATTAGAGACCTTTGTGTAAGCTGCTTCCTTTCATGTCTTCTTAGGGCAGCTCAGCTGATTCCTAATTGGTTGCCACCATCAGGCTAACTGCTGCCCATCTCTTTGAACTTGTATATGACCATGTCAGGCCTCGGGAGATGTTCCCTTTTCTATCATATTTCATACGAAAACATTCAGTAGACACTTTTCTACGCATCTCAGATAATGATGCTTGTATAGAAGATCTATAAGAACACATGAGCCAAAGACCCATCTATCTAGTCTAGCATCCTGTTCAAATCATGGCTAACCAGATGTATATGGGAAGCCTACAAGCTGGATATGAGTGTGGAGAGAAATATTGGTGGGTCTCCCCCACACCCATATTCACCCCCACCTTCCCAGAATTTGCTAAAGTGCCAGCCCTCCTTCCTAGCTAGTGAATGGTACAACAAGAGAGGGGCATTTTGACTCAGCTCTCACCAGAAATTAAGGTTGGCATCCAAATATATTGCTGAATGATTGAGAGCTTGAACAGAAGAGGATTAATGGAGCCAGAAGTGCCGCTCAATAGCCCAGACAAAATTGTGAGGTACATCTTTTGTTTGGAAAACGACAGGTGATCTGTTTCCATGGGAGCTAATTGGTACACAATCTTCCTTGAGTCTTCTGAATGGGCAGCAACAGACCTTCCCTCCACCTCACCCCAAGTTAAAAATAATATAATCTAGGTGCCTGTGTCGAAAGAGACAATAAAATCTGCAGTTTTCAAGCAGGATGGAGACAGACCATGAAAAATTCAGACAGCACTGAATTTTGGGGCTTTGGAAAGTAACAGTAGTTTGGGGACGTTGGCTTCTTTTGGAAAATCTTATGTCAGCAATGGCTGTGTGCTAGATCGTGCCTCCACTTATGTGCAACCTCTATATTAGTTAAGCTAGAGTTACCAGGGACAGTCCCCAGATTTGCAAATCTGTCCCTGGACAAATTCCGTCCCTGGAATGTCCCCAGATTTGCAAATCTGTCCCCGGGAAATGTGGCAGCGGCAGCATCAGCAGCCCGGAGCCAGCCTGGTATCGCAGTTGGCTCTGGCTGGCTTCAGGAGCTGCTTGCTGCTAGCTGTCGCCGCCACTGCCAAAGGGGAACAAGGGACATCCAGCGGTACAGATCCCCTGCCCCCTTCTCCCTTTGTTTTGACAGATCGGGGAAGGCTCGGGAGTCGCAGGTGAGTGGCCGTTGCCCAGGAAGGGTGCAAGGCGTGCAGTTTCTCTGCCAGGCAAGGTGCAAAGCCCTTCTTTCGCACCCTGTGAAACATAAATGCACAGAGTGTGCGCACAGGGTGTGAAAAAAGGACTTTGCACCTTTATACAATATGCATGTGTGCTTGGGTCCAGGGTCTTTTGCCTCACCATCTCCACTACTGACTCCCTGTTGTTACTCAGCTTCAAAAAAAAAAAAATAGTGTCCCCGGATTCATTGAAAAATATCTGGTAACCATAAGTTAAGCTCACATACTACAAAATGCCATAAATCTTCAGTGGCATCCCCTAGTTTCAGAAGAAACCTAATCTAGGTAAAAACTGTGCCCCTGGAACTTTTCACTGCCTGGATAAATGGGATGTGCCACATGGAGACACTGAAGCAAACTAACTCTGCAAAAGACACTCATAATGGCTAGGATTCAGTCTCTTCCCCCATTTTGTTGACATCCTCTTTACTTCTTAAGTTTTGCTCCCACTTTCCTTGAATGGATTCTCCCTTCCTCTCCCATTAAATAAGTAGAAGCTTTGCTATAGTGCCAGGTCAAGGGAAAGGTCTTAGCCACTTAGCAGTGGGCAGGTGACTCCCTGAAGACAGTTACGCCACAGAAACCACCCTGGAGTAAACCACTTCTCATCACTCCCTCCAACTTCTATGGAGCACACCACAGGGTTCCTCGCACATTACTGATAGCAACCACAAAGAAGGCTTCCTGTAATTTGCTGCTCTTTCAATGTCTCCTTCCAAAGATCTTCTGCTGAGTGTTTATCGGCATGGTGCATCATGGTAGCATTCAGCCACTTCAAACAGAAAAACACAACAGTGAGGGGCAGGTGGACAAGGAACTGACGGACGTCTGCATGAAGCTCTTGCTCCAGGAAAGGCCCTCCACAAAAGCCCCGAATGCATCTTCAGAAAAAAGCAAAGGTGACCAACAGATGTGGGTCCAAGGTGGTGGGGAATGTTGGCGAGCTCAGCACATTCTAAATCTAGTAACTTCATACAGAGGTGGCCCTTCTCATTTTGCCACCTGAGACAAAACAGGAAGTTCTCTGAGGCAGGCAGAGGGACTGACGTTATAGCAGATACAATAGCCAGTGTCAGCACTGGGCAACCTTAGGGAGATGCCCACCAGAGGGGTCAACAGAAGGGGAGTCCCACCAGCAGGCACTGTGTCCAGGACCTTCTCAAATCTGAAACCAGCCCCAGTTGAATCTTCTTATGGTTCCCTGCTCTGGTCCTGTCTCTTTTCAATCAAAAGGCATTGTGATTAGTGAAAATACAGCCCGTCATAGTTTCTCAGCCTAACCTACCTCACAGGGTTGTTGTGAGGATAAAATTGGATGGGGAACCATGCATGTGAACTTGAGCTCCTTGTAGTAAAGGGAGAATATAAATCCTTTGGGGTCGTTCTTTTGCTTGTGTCATGAAATGCTTTTCTACTCTTCCTTGAGTAAAAAATAATCTCCACAGCTTGTTCTGATGACACAATAGGCTGCTGTGAAAAACCAACATTTTGCTGTCCTCTTTTCAGAAACACATTGCCACTTCTTTAAAGAAAATTAAAAAATCAGAGGTGCTTTTTTTTAATTCATGCCCCAGAGAAATTGTCACATCCTCCCAAATTAACATCAATTAAATAATATCTCTTTTGTGCTTTCTCTAACCTCCAAGTCATTTGGAATAATATAATAACAACCGAAGTAAATGATACGTATTTTAAATCTTCTAAGTATGCTTGCTTTTTCCTTTCATACAACAATTTCCTATCTGAAATTGCCGTGAGGGTGCCTGAAGTGTCACTGCTGAACACATCGAAAGCTTTGTGAGCTCTTTAGAAGGAGACCTTCTTCTTTTCTCATTGTGCATTAAGAATCACATAGCTTCGCTTCAGTTGTATAAAAACCCGGAAGCCATTTTATATAGATCTAAGAAACCATGACCTACTTGTAGTTCTTTCATTGCTGAACACCCTTTTCCCGTTTCAGTGCTTCAACTCAACATTTTTCTTCATTACTTTTTAATTACTAACGTCCATTCCTAGGAAACAAGATTCATTAACTCTATCTACTTGAAAGAAAGACAGCTAACAAGATGAGGTAAAAATAAAAAATAAAAATAAAATTTTGGGGTTTATCAGCCTCAGCACTGTGTTTACTCTGAACTGAGGAGGCTTCTGCTTTTCCTGAAGTATATGGGGTGATCCATACAAAATGGCAACTACACAGGGGTCCTGGTGGATATTTCCATGAAATAAGCTGACACACTTTGCCTTGACCCATTGATCAGGCAGGTTTTTTATGGGAAGCCTTCTAGATGTTACTGGAGTTCAACTCCTATCAGCTACCAGCCACAGTGAACATGGCCCACAGTGTTCCACAATCAGAGGTTACCACTGAGAAGGCCCTACTTCAAATCTCAGACATCTGGCTTCAGTGAGCAATGATATGGCTAAAATCCCTGGTGGATTTCACGGAATGGGCAAAGCAGGACAGGACAGAAGGAGCTGCTGCTTCTTCAGATAATTGGGTCCCAGGCTGTTTAAGCCTTTATCATCTAGATAAACAGAGATCTAGATTATATCAAGTGTAGTTTGTGGAGGATTGAGGGGTGGCAAGAAGAGGATACTCCCTAACCCTTTCCCTGATCATTTTTTCCTATTCAGAACATTTCAGCCTAGTTCTACATCAATAAGCAATCATCTCACAATAAGCTACCCTGGAGATACATCACCTGAATATCTCAAGCTATTAGCACTCCTTTGTCAAGCCCAAGACTACACAAACCCACAGTGATGGTCCCGTTCACAGAACTCTGATATGAAACCCGTAACAATTTCCTAAGCTACACATTTGATAAAGGCTCTGACCAATGTAAGAAATAGAAAAAGACACAGGCAACATAAAGGAAACACATTGCGACAAAGTGCTTTACCTTTCATTAATATGGAGGGCAGATTCATGTGCACGGTGGAAACAGATGTGGAGGAGATCAAGCAATGCATTAAAAATATTGCAAACATAACCACTGGAATATAACCACATAGTATAGATTTCATATGCAATGTGTTTCTGGGCTGAAAGTTGGCCATACAGTGGTACGTCGGGTTAAGAACTTAATTCATTCTGTAGGTCCATTCTTAACCTGAAACTGTTCTTAACCTGAGGTACCACTTTAGCTAATTTCTGTTCTCATACTGAAGCAAAGTTCTTAAGCCGAGGTACTACTTCTGGGTTAGCGGAGTCTGTAACCTGAAGCGTTTGTAACCCGAGGTACCACTGTATAGCAGGATCTGTTGTTGAGGATCCTTTAGCCTTCTGTTTTAGCCATGACCAACAGAGTTTTAAAACTCTAGGCAAGAACTGTAATTGAGGA